AAAAAAAAAAAAAAAAAAAAAAAAATACTGAAATGATAATAATAAAAACATTGCCAATGTCCTACATGAATGATATTATACATATTGACATGGGAACATTTCCAAGCAGAAAGACAAACGCATCATCAGCTGCTTACATCTTACACAATAAATCATAATGTAATGATAAAATATTCCTTGCATTCTACATGCATATTTCCATAAAATATGGAGCAAAAATATATGTATTTATATTTAACCCTTCGATGTCTGTGTACATTATCCTTAGACTGTGTTCCCATAACCTTATTGTACTAACAGGATCGATCTATAGCAGCAGTTGTTCTCGCTAAGATGCACACAATGTAATCAACTTAATTATCTGGCATGCCCCTTCGCAAAGCAACATGAACAACAGCATGAACTTTAAGTTAAGAAGGGGCATTCCAGGCATTTAAACTGCTTAAATTGAATGCAATTTAGCGAAAATCCCCCGAGCAGTTAGATCGATCCAGCTAGTACGATAAGGTGATGGGAATGCTCCCTTAGTTCTGTACAATTACTTGAGGCAGTCAGGGTGGTCAAAGGTTAAAACTGATTATTTTTTCTCAAACCATCCTACTTGTTTTAAACTTTCCTCTTGCACATTTTCACTTGCTCCATGCTTCCAACTTAACTGCTTCTTTACTTATTTTTCATTTGTGCTGCAATTAACTGCTGGCCACTGACTATAATAATTATATTCGTATATTCTAATATGAAGTACTAGTACAATACTGAATAAAAACCCATTGCTTTTTAATTAATTTTGCAGATTTTTTGTCATTATGCTGTCAAATTTGATCTAGGATTCACCAATGCTTAAGAAAATAGTTGTTTTTCCTGCTACAAGGTCTAGAACGTAATACCTTTGATATGCTTCACGTACAATGGTATACATTTTTCTTTGCATTTTCCACTGTTTTAGTTTATTGTCTGATTTAGCCAATGATGAGCCCAATTTAGTATTAATGCATTGTCCGTGATATCTGAATAAAAAGATGATCGTTTTCTTTTCTTCACCTTTAGCAAAAGAAAAGCAAATACAGCAATCACCAAAAGTTTGTTTAATATTTGGAGCCCAGTTAATTCTATCAGTATGGCGTCATATTAATTGCTTAATGTCCATCAAAATGCAGTGGACATCCAAATAAAAAACAGCAGTTACTTTCCAAACTTCCTGGCTATTCACTGATGGTGCACTGATAGCAAACTATTCCACCAATCCCAAAAGAGAGAGAAAAAGTCAAAAGTTTGTAGGATTTATTCCTAACTAACCACTTTTCCGCTGTCATCTTTGCCTTTGTAGACTGTCTTTCCGTGGGTGAACGGCAGGTATCTATACTTGATCATGTGCTGAAAGGAGCCAAAGAATAAAGCTATTAATTATAAAATAATATTTAAACAACGAGTCAAAGAGATGCAGTCTCTTTCAAATCACAAGTAATCTGAAAATAGGCAGGGCTTAAATCTATATCCAAAGATCTAATTACCAAAAAAAAAAAAAAAAAAAAAAAGAAAAACAAAAACAAAATCCATACCTCATTATCTAATTATTTGGCAAAAACCAACCTCAATTTTAAATAACAAAGTACTAAAGCATCAAAAAATTACTTTTCTATAGTTTACAGAGCTAGGCAATTAAGAAACGTCATACAGTATAGACTGGAAGCGGTGAATGACTTACCTTTATTTGTCTTTTCATGGTAATTGTGAAGAGGATGATGAAATACATGACAAGTATAGGCCAGAATACAGGGATATTCAGTGCATCGAAGAACGTACAAAACATGGCTATCAAAAAAGCTTTTGTTGCAGAATGCCTGAAACAAAACCATCACATGATTACTGGTTCATAGATTGTTTGATTTCTTTTTAATACTCGAAGAACGAACAAACAAAACAGTCAAAGCAGTTATCTAATGACAGTGAAACACTTGGATGAGAGGATGAAATAATATTACAAGAAATTAATTGACGGTGTTGACAGAACTGAAAGAGAGAGAAAGAAAAAATTGAAAGGAAGAAAAGGAAAAAACAGAGAAGAACAAAGGCAAGGCTGGGGTGGAGCTAGCAATTTTTCCATTAAGCCAAAATACTACTTTTCATCACTTTTATGTCCAAATGGTTTAAATTTGACTAAAATAAGTCAAATCAAGCCCTTTTTGTTTAGCCAATTTCAGTCAGTTTTAGCATTTGGCTAAATTGGCGAGTGTTAGCGCTACCCCAGCAAGGTGATATAGAGTCAAACAATAATATCAAGAAAGACCTAACAGATGAAAACCTACCAAAATTTAAATTCTGGCAGTCTTCGTATAAATGGTCTAAACTCCTCACTTGCTCTGGTGGGTAACGATGGTCCATCCTCTGCATCTGAAAAAAAAAAAAGAAAATTAATAAAGTGATAAAAATAATTAAGTGGAATTTTTTGGCCAGCTCTTTAATATAATTTACATTGCACAATTTAAATGTTTTGTTTAACTTTCTTAAAATAACATCGCCTAATTTATCATCCATAACAAAAATTACGCAGTAGCATCATCACCATCAACACTCTTTACAGTTTTCTCATATTTACACTGTAGGTGGTGACTCAATTCAAGACAGCCCTACCTATGTCTTCTTGCATCACAGGGTCCATCTTGGGTGTGAGGAATGCTATGAATAAATTCAGCAAATAAATGCCCAGTGCATATGTAACTATGTACCAACCCTAAAATATAAACAAATAAAACATGGGTTAAAGTACCGTTCATCTTTAGTTGTTTCCTTTATTATTATTATTATTTGCAACCAACATGATATTTCACTCATTTAAGGCGCAGCCTAGGATAGCACTAGGATTTCAAATACCTAAATGACTTATCCGTACAGTTTTCTTAAAAAATATCACCATTTTGGTGACAAAAATTATTAAAAACTCAATCAAAATCAGATATTTTCTTAACTTTTCCTGAAAACCTTGTGAACTCGCGTCTTTTACACAGCAGCAGCAATAAATAACTATAAAATTTTGACACACATAAGTAAAATGCTCCTGCCCTCTCTTTAAACATTACCCCTGGGAAGAATTTCATAATTATTTGAAATTATAGACATACCTTTAAAAGAAATACCCTTAAGCCATACAGTACAGCTATTAAAGACGTCGCAGCCCATCTAACTGCTGTGTGGGGGGTTAAATTATCCAAACATTTTTGATATATCTGAAAGAAAAACTAATTTGGTCACTTAAGAAAAACAAAACAAAACAAAACAAAAATATTCATATTTTCTCAAATACCAGTGCAGCAAAAATTCCCTATTTCTTAATCCACAACCGCGTGATTTTTTTTTCAAATGAATTCAATTCTTTATTTGGAGCCTAAAATAAATAGATGAATATATTCACAATACTAAATATAGATATACAATTTATAAGATGTATTCATACCTTTCACAAAATAAATCACTCATGATAAATGTAATTTGACTTCAGGCTACAAGACATGACCTTTCAACCATTCACTTCACCATTTATTATTCTCTTCAGTGTGCCACTTTTACCACTTATTTCACAACATAAAACACCCCTACTTGGTTATGTACTATATAATATGGAAAGTTTCAGGTGTTCAGTACTCACATCTCCAAGTCTTTTAAAGAACTGTGATACCACATTTGGCTTAGATGCTGCTGATTCTGATTCATCCATATTGGAGATGTATTCTAGTAAAATAATAAAAAAAAAAATAGTAAAATTCTCAGTATATACTCTTTCTGCAGCAGTTTATATATATATATATATATATATATATATATATATATATATATATATATATATATATATATACTGGCAAAATAATAATGAAAATATCAAAGGGCATGGAAGATAGATATAGGCTGATGAATCCATATCAATTCATAAACGCTCCTAAGCGCTGTAATAAACCAATCTTCAGCTGTATACAATTATAGAACAAGGAAAAACAAGCGCAAAAACAGCTCAATTGATATACGTCAGAAAATTACATGGCAGGATTCGATCTTGCTTGGATGATTTTTATTTGTGCTGCACCCCATCTAATAAACGCATCTTGCCAAAGTTAGCAACTACATTTAGTCCAGGTTCAAAAGCAAAGGGGAGGGGGGCTCTGCCATAAAATCCTACCACAGCATTAACACCACTAATAATCCAAAGAGTTAGGGTTAAAAAAACAAGATCAACCTTTTTGAGTTGCCGGCAGTAAGATGCTGAATGCAGGCGACTGTCAAAACGCCATTTTCAGTCGTCCGACCTTCGACCAGACCACTTATAGAGGTATTTCTCACATACAGAACAGAAAAAATTTGCTCAAATTTGGACATGGACGTACTTAGCAAAATTCTCGTCTTTTAAGTTCGTAACTTTGTCACATTTTAGTGAAGAAAGTGATTAAAACACACAATATTGCGTTAAGCCACGTTGGACCTTCTACTCACCGACACTTCCGGTAGCCTCGTTATGGATTCAGTCTTACAAGACAATCCCCACTCCATACCTGTGCTACCTTTTATTTGTTCCTACGTTCCTAAAGGGAAATTCGCCCAGTTTGAATTACAAAATCAAATCAATGATAAGAGAAAACAGTTTAAAAACCTGTTACCCAGACAGTGGATGTTTCAGCGCAAAGGAATGGGTCCAAGCTTTACAAATTACATGACAAGTACACACTTGTATGCATCATAAGGGCGCATTCCCAGAGATTTTAGATCGATCTATTCCCGCGGAGAGTCTAACTTAAATGTCTGTCCCGCCTACTAAAAGCTGTAATAGGGTTATTAACTTCCGAGCGCGGTCGGCTGACTGCAATTTAGCGTGAACCCACAGGGAGTTAGGTCAATCTAGTAAGATCGATCTAACACCCCATTTCCATAGATTTTAGATCGATCTATCCCTGTGGGGAGTCTCACTAGATTACTGTCAGCTTGGCCGGCTTAAGCGTCTGTCCCGCCTACTAAAAGCTGTAAGAGGGTAATTAACTATGGTGCCCGCTCGGCTGACTGCAATTTAGCGTGGACCCCCAGGGAGTTAGGTCGATCTAAATCTTAGGCTTCGTTCACATGGAAAGTCTATTTTCTAAAAATCTATTTTCTATTCGCGGTATCTTATGAACACGGTCTGTGCCCTGAACATCCCGCGGCGTAATTACTATCAGCGCAAGCCAGTTACTTTAAGTTCCTGTAAGTAACTGGCTCGCGCTGCCAGTAATTACGCCGCGGGGTATTCAGGGCACAGACCGTGATCATAAGATACCGCGAATAGAAAATAGATTTTTAGAAAATAGACTTTCCATGTGAACGAAGCCTCTGGATCGATCTAAATCTCTGGGAATGCACCCTATTAATCTCTGGGAATGCCCTCATATGAGTGTCCCTTTGGGAATTTTCGTTACCCACAAAAGCCACTTTCTTATTTCACGAGGTGCGTTTTTTAGCGTTATCTGTGAAGCACCCCATACCCAGGTCACGTGAATAATGCTTTTTATTGTTTGCTCTTTGTGAAACGAAATCAATGTTATACCCTGCAGTTATAGGCCTACATGTAGCCTACATATGCATGTCAATGTAAGGATTTTCGACTAGTGATTTGTGAAATGATGATTTTATTTCCCGTGAACTCACAGTAAGACCTTCTATCATATGCGCCATTTATTTTTATTTCTATATATGTGCATGCATAATTTGTAATTTTCTTGGTTTGCACGGAGAGGATATAGGGGCCTAAAATGCTTAATTCTGGCGCTTTGTTTCCGTTTCTCTCGGATAAACTTTTTAAATAAGTAAATTCAATTTCTTGAAAGGTGGTGAGGGGTGGGGCTGGAAGTAAGGATGAATCTGGTTAAAGAAAGAATTTATGTTTTTGATCAATTGCCGGCATAATCGGGGATCCCTGGTCATGGGCAGAGATATAGATGTAGGTCTACCGGTATAGATATACATGAACCTCACTAGTACATGTATCAGTTAACTTGTGTCTGGACTCTTCAAATGTTACCTCTGAAACTCCGGGTGATGTAAGTGAAAACACACACACACACACACACTTAGTAGACCTACACATACGCACGAACACATTTTGACTTTTAAATTGCATTCGTCGAACCATCGCCGAGTGAACCATACATGATAAATTGAAGCGTAAAAAATAGAAATTATGTTTTGTAAATAGGTCCTATTGCGTTGATAACTGATGAGATCCTGGTTGGTCGAGTTTATCCTTATCTACCATTTATGTAACAGGAACCTTTATTCAATAGTATTTATGTATTTTAATAAATTAATTAATAATTAATTAATTTATTTTTAAAAAGAATATTTAATTGGTAAAATATTTGCTTGATATCGCACTTGCCACTCTTGACATTTGGGGAATATTTGACGAAGTACTAATAATTAAGCCTTGATAAAATTTAAGAGTTTACAGTGAAAAAATGTAATCTTAATTGAAAACAAGGGGAATAATAACCCTTATATACGACCCGGATCTATAGACTCACTGACCTTGAAAAATAAACTGTTGTTTTTGCTTGGTTAAATTGTTATAGCCTAACCTTAAAATAGGCCCTAATTGGAAAAGAAACCAGGACGTACGTAAATCTCGGCAGCATTAAAGCAAATAATGAAAACCATATCGATATTACAAATGGCCCCAAAATTGAGAGTACGGAATACCTTTTTCGTAATGCGTGATAGGGCTATTTTTCGAGCTTGATGCGTTATTTGAGACCAATATTCAAAATTCTACCACCAAAATGACTGAAAGTGAAACGCGGGCGCGCGCGCGCACACACACACACACACACACACACACACAATACTCTTAGTACATATACGCAGGAGTACTTTTTAGACTCTTGTATGCGTCGAACCATCGCCGAGTGATCCTTACATGATAAATTGAAGCGAAAACAATAGAAATTGTGTTTGTAAATAGGTCCAATTACGATGATAACTTATAAGAACCTGGGTGTTCGAGTTAATCCCCACCTGCCATTTATGTAACAGGAACCACTGTTCAACAGTATTTATTTATTTATTTATTTATTTATTAAAAATATTAGAGTGGTGAAATATTTGTTTGTTCTCGCAGGTGCCACCCTTGGCATTGGGGAATATTTGACGCAGTATTGCAACATGGAAAAGGAGTTAATTCTCGAGATACAATATAAGAAATAATTAAGCCTTGATAAAATTTAAGAGTTTACAGTGAAAAAATGTAACCCTAATTGAAAACTAAGGGAATAATAACCCATGTATACGACCCGGATCTATAGTCTCACTGACCTTGAAAAATAAACCGTTGTTTTACTGACCTTGAAAAAATAAACTGTTGTTTTACTGACCTTGAAAAAATAAACTGTTGTTTTAGCTTGATTAAATTGTATAACCTTAAAACAGACTTTAATTGGAAAAGAAACCAGGACGTACGTAGGGCCTAAATCTCGGCAGCATTAACGCAAATAATGAGAACAATACCGGTATTACAAATGGCCCGAAAATTCTACCACTAAAATGATTGAAATTCCTTTTACGACATTAAAAGCTTTTATTGTTCAGAATTCGTGGACAGTATTCCAAATCCATTTATGAAAAATAGTACATTTAATTTTTCATTAATTTTCAACAGTTTTGCTGATATCATAATTGATTTCTAATAAGTATATTTTCATTTAGAAAGAGTGGAATGTTACCAAAATCCTTGATTTTATTGGCCATTATTGTACCACAAAGTTCTTTCCAGGCTGCTAAGGCATCAATCCAGAATCTATTTTTTATGTTTCTNCACGTCTTTTACACAGCAGCAGCAATAAATAACTAAACAAATTTTGACACACATAAGTAAAATGCTCCTGCCCTCTCTTTAAACATTACCCCTGGGAAGAATTTCATAATTATTTGCAATTATAGACATACCTTTAAAAGAAATACCCTTAAGCCATACAGTACAGCTATTAAAGACGTCGCAGCCCATCTAACTGCTGTGTGGGGGGTTAAATTATCCAAAAATTTTTGATATATCTGAAAGAAAAACTAATTTGGTCATTTAAGAAAAAAAAAAAAAAATATATATATATATATATATATATATATATATATATATATATATATATATATATATATATATATATTCATATTTTCTCAAATACCAGTGCAGCAAAAATTCCCTATTTCTTAATCCACAACCGCATGATTTTTTTTCAAATGAATTCAATTCTTTATTTGGAGCCTAAAATAAATAGATGAATATATTCACAATACTAAATATAGATATACAATTTATAAGATGTATTCATACCTTTCACAAAATAAATCACTCATGATAAATGTAATTTGACTTCAGGCTACAAGACATGACCTTTCAACCATTCACTTCACCATTTATTATTCTCTTCAGTGTGCCACTTTTACCACTTATTTCACAACATAAAACACCCCTACTTGGTTAAGTAATATGTAATATGGAAAGGTGTTCAGTACTCACATCTCCAAGTCTTTTAAAGAACTGTGATACCACATTTGGCTTAGATGCTGCTGATTCTGATTCATCCATATTGGAGATGTATTCTAGTAAAATAATAAAAAAAAAAATAGTAAAATTCTCAGTATATACTCTTTCTGCAGCAGTATATATATATATATATATTAGATACTGGCAAAATAATAATGAAAATATTAAAGGGCAAGGATTATGGATATAGGCTGATGAATCCATATCAATTCATAAACGCTCCTAAGCGCTGTAATAAACCAATCTTCAGCTGTATACAATTATAGAACAAGGAAAAACAAGCGCAAAAACAGCTCAATAGATATACGTCAGCAAATTACATGACAGGATTCGATCTTGCTTGGATGATAAACGCATCTTGCAAAGTTAGCAACTACATTTAGTCCAGGTTCAAAAGCAAAGGGGAGGGGGGCTCTGCCATTAAATCCTACCACAGCATTAACACCACTAATAATCCAAAGAGTTAGGGTTAAAAAAACAAGATCAACCTTTTTGAGTTGCCGGCAGTAAGACGCTGGATGCAGGCGACTGTCAAAACGCCATTTTCAGTCGTCCGACCTTCGACCAGACCACTTATAGAGGTATTTCTCACATACAGAACAGAGAGAATTTGCTCAAATTTGGACATGGACGTACTTAGCAAAATTCTCGTCTTTTAAGCTCGTAACTTTGTCACATTTTAGTGAAGAAAGTGATTAAAACACACAATATTGCGTTAAGCCACGTTGGACCTTCTACTCACCGACACTTCCGGTAGCCTCGTTATGGATTCAGTCTTACAAGACAATCCCAATTCCATACCTGTGCTGCCTCCTACTTGTTCCTACGTTACTATAGGGAAAGTCGCCCAGTTTGAATAATAAAATCAAATCAATGATAGGAGAAAACAGTTTTAAAAACCCGTTACCCAGACAGTGGATGTTTC